AGAATCCTAGCCACTTCCTTCCCTACCTTTCCACAACTGGCTGGAGGAGAGGAGATATACCTGGCATTGAGGTTGGAGGATGTCACACAGGATTTCACATAGGACTGTGGTCTGATTAGTTTTTTAAAATTTTCTCTGTTGGTCTTAGACTAGCTTAAAAATAAAGTATTATACATATCTTGCCCTGAAATCTGATTTACCAATGAAACTCCATTAATTCTTCAAATCAGGTCTTTTTTTACCCTCTGCTCTAATTATCCCTCCCACCACAAGATAACTTTGACCTATTATTCTTTGAGAGTATTAGTGCCTTATCTTTGTATTACTTTATAAGGCCCTCCTACACCCATTTAACTTAAGGATGTGCCCAATCAGCCTTTCCCTAGTCTTGGATTTCTCCTGTGCATATACCTCCAGGGAGTGGGAACGAAATAATAACATGCCATAGTAGGAAAATGGGAGAATGCTGAAATGCACACAAAAAATAAAACAAAAATTGGATGTAATCTCACCACACAGAGATAACCAATACTGTGTTTTGGTGTATAACAGTCTAATCTCTTTTTTTCTATGTGTATATATTTTAAGCAAAATGAAAATTACCTTAATATTATACTATAGACTTATTATCATTAGATATTTCTTAAAAAATAAAGCTTTTCATCTTTAAATACATACACATGTATCTTCTAAGAATTAGCACATTTTGTTAAACATTTATCATACCTAAAATCTTTACAGTAAATATTATTTAGTGATATTATTTAATAAATAGTCTGTATTAAAAATTTCTCAGTGAGTCCTGTAATGTCTTTACAGCTCTTCTTTCATCTTCCAACATCCAGAAATAATATAGGATCGTGTGTTAAAAGTAATTGTTTTGGAAAGTATGATTCTTAACGGGAGCAGTATTTTATTATATGTATCCTTAATTTATCTAATCATTGCCCTACTGTGGGACATTTAGATTGTTTCCCATATGTAGCTACTATAAACAATACTGTGATGAATGCACATGTACATAAACCTTTGGGTATGTTTCTAATTATTCCCCAAGTATCTCTCTGTAGGCAGGGGAGCTGCCTGTGGACACTGTGGGCATGTGTGTGAAGGTTGTACGTCCGCTATGGAAGTTTTACATGCACTGCAGAGAGCCCAGAGTGTCTCACTCACTGGCATTTCCACAGTGAGGATGTGGACACATGGCTTTAAGACAAGTGAAAGAACATGTGTTCCTCTGCCCTAAGGTCTTGCCAGAAGCGCTGCGTTTATGCCAAAGAAACCTAACCTGGGAGGAACTGGGGAGCAGCACATGGGCTTTCAAATCAGACAGTACTTGGTCTGTACACTTAACTTCACCACAAAATCAAGCTTCAACTTCTGCAAGTTGTTCTAACTCTCAGAGTTGCAGTTTCCTCTTCTCAAAAATGTGGGAAATACCATTTGTTGTGATAATTAAGTGAGAACACAGAAAAACAACTAATCCACGTGCATGATGGATTTTTGTTAGCCCCTTCCCACCCCGCCCCTTTAGAGACTCCATTCTGCTATTTGTCAGAAAGGAGACAGAAAAGCCAGAGCATGTTTGTGTGGAATAGGAAAAACACTGGCACCAAAATCTCTGAAATACATCTAAGGGAGGTGTTATTTCTGGGGGAAAAGTATTAACACAGAATTCCGTGAAGGAAAGAGAAAACTTCTATGGATCATTTTCTTATCCTTAATGCCCTTCACATTTGTGAGCATCTCATTAGTTACCTAAAATTAAATTACTATAATAAGTAGGAGATAACAGTAAAAACTATCCTAAAGTGGTGACCTCACTCTCATTCCTCTAGTTTCGACACTCTCACCCCTTTGCTTTGGGCTCCTGGGACACAGTGTGAACTTCCCTGTCATTAGCTCTGCTAGCACTTGAACTACTGTACCTGTAGTAGCCAAGAACGAATCTGACTCCATTCAGATCTGTTCCTTCACCTCTAACCTGTGTTCTGTTTCCTGTGCTCAGTCGTGCTGGTTCTGCACCTTCTGTAAAAGGATGTTGCCTGCAGCCTGAAATGTACAGAATGGCTCATTTTCAAGGCTCTGACCTTTAAGGGTACAACACTTTTCTATTCCTACAGAGATAAAAAGTTGCAGAATGGAGAATAACATTTGACCATCTCATCTGACCATAAATTTATATCTGAGTGCAGAATGTTGCCTTCTCTTACTCTCATTCCTGCCCTCATGATCCTGGTTTCCGTCCTCAATAGAACCGTTCTCCAGTTTTGCTATGACCTCAAAGCATACTGCTGGTCCTTTCAAGTTCTTAATTCTAACCCTGATTCTTTATCTTTTAGGGAGATATTTTTAAAAATCTTGAATATTTTAAATATTGCCTTTTGATTTCTTTTTAAACAATTTTTTTTTATTTGACTCCTTGATTCTTTTTCTTCCTGTTCATGATTCAAATAGTAAACTTATAAGTTGCAACATTCAAAACTGTTATTTTCTTTCCAGGTTGTGTTTTTAACAGTGATGGTGACTCCACAAGTTCTTGTTCAGAGGGAAACTGCTCCTCCATCAATTGAGTCAGTTTTCACTTTAGTGAGAGACAGCTTCTCTTCGCGTTAGCTGAGTCTCCTGCTTCCATCAAGATGGGAAACAAATGTCCAGGGTGTTTGGCTGAGGTTGATCAACCACTGGGTGAGGACTGAGGGGTATGAACGTGTGTGGGGTGGTGTGTGTGTGGTGTGTGTATGTGGTGTGTGTGATCAGTGTGTGTGGCATGTGTGTCTGTGGTACATGATATGTTTTGTGTGATGTGTGTGTGGCCTGAGTACACATGGTGTAGTGTGTGCGTGTGTGTCATGTGTGGTGAGGAGGGTGTGGTGCAGGAAGAG